ACACAACTCGTGTTTTGTGAACTCGACACAACTCGTGTTTTGTGAACCTGACACAATTCGTGTTGTGAAGTCGGCACAACTCGTGTGTTGTGAACTCGACACAACTTGTGTTTTGTGAACCCGACACAACTCGTGTTTTGTGAACCTGACACAATTCGTGTTGTGAACTCAACACAACTTGTGTGTTGTGAACTCGACACAACTTGTGTTTTGTGAACCCTTCACAACACTAGTTAAGGTAATAAGGGGGCAGCTGTGGCTCAGTGTTTAGAGCAGTCATCCTTCAATGGGAGAGTGGGGGGTTCGATTCCACCAGCAGTCATGTGCTGAAGTGTCCCTGGGCAAGACACTGAACCCCTCATTTCCTCTGATGTGTGTCCCATCGGTGTATGAATTTGGTCTAACACACTGATTAGTCTCTACAGATTAAGATTATTTTAAGATATAGATTGCTGTATGTGTGTGTCCCACCGTCAGTGAGGTAAAGGTCAGGCAGATTCCTCCAAAGCCGTTGAAGGAGACAGCAAAGAAGATGAGGATGGACAGCTCTGATGGAGACAGAGAGAATAATTGAAACATTTGTTCCATCCTCTGTGAAGGTTTCATCTTTCTCTCACCAAATGACAACACATCTATGATGTGAGCTGAATTTTCTAACTGTTCAGAAAAAGTGAGCCAGCTCAGCTGCAGGCTGTACTTTGTTCCAACAGTTCGTAGAATTTCTCACTTTTCCAGGTTAATTTGATTTATGTGCAGAAATTGTTGCAAAGATTTCTCTGAACTGACATTAAAGGAGGAAGCACCGTTAGCAGAGCAGTAACGTTAGCCTTCGTCATGTACCAATGTCTGTGTGTCAGTGTGTCTCAGGTGTGCGTTTCAGGTGGAGTGTTGTTACCTTCAGGGTTGTAGGTAGCTGCAGCTATCATCGCACACGATGCAACAAAGCATGAACTAAAAGAAACACAAAGATTTTGTTGAAACCAAGCATTTATGAGCACCGTGTGAAAAGACAGAACCATTTCTTTCTCTTTGACTGATGTTACATTAGCGTCAGGAGACACCGAGGTTTCAAAACTGACACAAAGTTCCTGCATTTAGCACTCCATGTTAAATAATAATTTAGTACTCTATGTTAAATTATACTTCTCCTTGAATTGCCACCTTATCGTGGTGGAGGAGTTTGTGCGCCTGAATGGTCCTAGGAGCTATGATGTTGGGGGCAATTATAACTGCCCCTGGTAGGGTCTCCCAAGACAGATTGGTTCTACGTGACATGCCAGACAAAGAGCGATTCAGAAGACTTTTGATGGACAACACCAATCAACAAACTCAGTCTACCTTTCCTGTGGGTTACCGGGGCCCCACTCTGGAGCCAGGCCTGGGGGAGAGGCTTTGTGGTGAGTGCCTGGTGACAGGGTCTCTACCCATGGGGCCCAGTCGGGCTCAGCCCGAAGGAGCATCATGAGTTTGACTTCCTGTGGACCCACCACCTGCAAGAAGGGCCATACAAGTCGGGTGCATGATGCCATGGGCAGTGGGAGTGGCCGAAAGCAGGGACCATGGCGCTCTGACCCTGGCCTACCAAAATTGGCTTTTCAGAGTCAGAGAGTGAGAGAGATTTATTTGTCCTACACACCACATGTGGTACATGAGGTGGGACAAAACTCTATACACAGGGTCCCAGTTACATCCAACAAAAACACAAATTGTAAATAAAAACATTAGTAAGATCTGAGTCATGAACCAAGAATATATTAAATTCACTAAACTAAGAATACACAAGACTAAGAATACACAAAGCACTAATGGTACAAAAACAATGCGTCAAAAAAACAGCAGCACGAACATGAGTATGTGTGAGCAGAAGAGGACAAATGAACACAGCAACATGAAATAATCAGCAGCATGAGATCAGCATCATGGATAGTCAGCAGCACATATCAACAACCAAGTGGCATTACAATGATTTTTCGGGGGGGGGGGGGGGGGGTTCACAGTGATTTTTCCTGGTTAGAGATTTGTAACTCTAACAGCCTCAGGGTAGAAGCTGTTCCTCAGCGTGGTGGTTTTGCACTTAATACTCCTCAGCCTTCTGCCTGAGGGGAGCAGGGCAAAAAGTGTGTGTGCTGGGTTTGTGTAGTCCTTCATGATGCAGGTGGCCCTCTTCCTGCATCTGGAGGTGTAGATGTCTGTGAGGTGGGGAGACTGACTCCAACATCTTCTGTGCAGCCTTCACCACTCTCTGCAAAGCTTTTCTTTCTGCAGCTGTGCAGCCTCCATGCCACACGTTGATGCTGGAGCACAGGATGCTCTCCACTGCACACCTGTAGAAGGAGGTGAGGACTGAGCTTCCAGACCAGCTCGTCTCAGCCGCCTGAGGAAGTAGAGTCTCTGATGATCTTTCTTCATCAGGCTGGTGGTGGTGTTGCTCCAGCTGAGGTTGTCATTCATGTTCATGTGCACAGTGCACACCCAAGTACTTGTAGCTTGAAACCACTTCCACCACAGATCCTCCTATGTTCGGGGTGGTGGTGGGGGGGTGGAGGTGTGTTTATTCCTTCTGAAGTCCACAACCATCTCCTTTGTCTTCTTCACATTGACGTGAAGGTTGTTCTTCCTGCACCAGCTCTCCAGGTAAAAAAAAAAACGTATAAATTGGGAAAAATAAATTAAAGAAAATTATATTAAAAACAAAAACAAAAACAGCTAGGATGTAAAGCGATGTAGAAAACTAAAAATAGGAACATGTCTGCATTGGTTTTTGCCATGAACTTAGTAGATGTTTAAAGCCACTTAGAGGCCAAGGTTGAGAGCTTCAGATCTATAGACTGACCCTGAGCTCTCAGACTCATGTGCTTAACGAGCTCAACGTCAAGCTGGACGTGATTTCTGAGAATTGTAGGCCACTTGTGGCTCCTGGAACTTGCCGGTGTAGAATTTAAGAAAATGCATTAATTGGAAAATCTGTTTTATAACAAGGGCCAAGCTAATATGTATTTTTAACTTATAATGGCCTGCAGAGAATGTAATCAACAAAACTTGTTTTTAACAGGTTCTGAGTATTTGCAGATGTGATTTATGCATGGAGTGTGTTAAGCTGACCGGTGAATAATTTGTTTATCTGTATCTAAAAGTACCAAGAATTTCTGGGCGTAAGACCAAATGTTTATACAAGGGGAAACTCGGGGAAACTCGGGGAGCTCAGGACAAGGAGTTCAGGTGGACGGCCAAGGGACCGTCCAGCACAGGACAGAGACGCCAGCGAGCGGCCGGAGGACTGTCCATCAAAAACAGGAGCTCTGGAGAGCGGCCAGGAGACCGTCCATCACCGGACCAGACCTCTGATGGGCGGCCGGAAGAAGAGACCATAGATGAAGTCCTAACTGGCAGCACAGTATCCACAGTAGAGGCCAAAGGATCTGCAGCAGGCAAATGGACCATGAAGACTGCAGCTGGCGAAGAGATCACAGAGGTTGAGACCTCACAAGGTGTGGAAAAGGAGTGAGTGGCATCCTTCTGGAGGGTTAGGGGGGGTTCATCGAAACATTTCTCACTTAAAGAAACTGGTCCAGATGACATGATTTAATTTTTTTGTTGTTATCTACCTGGATGATTGAGCCTACAAACCTTTTTCTAACCCCTGAACCACCAACGGCACTTGAACCTTAAGAGGACCAGGCCTTGGTCCACACAAAGAGCAGTTGGTCCTCAAAGTTTAGTATGTGTTCAAAAATGGTTCTCACAAAGTAACATAAACAAACACACAAAAATCTAGGATCACAAACTTTTATACCTAACAGAATCCTTTACATTTCATTTTTTACTAGTTTAAAAAAAATCCTCCTTAGAATTTGTAGAATACAACATTAAAAAGGTGATTGAAAGATGAATGATGTGTCCCACCTGCCAATCAGTCTGATTGGGCGGGGTCCATATCTGTCCATGAGGATCCCCAGGGGCAGCGTTGCTGCACTCAGGAGGAAGGAGCCAATAGTGAAGCCCAGATTTAGCATCTCGTCTTGTTCAACACAACTCCTCCAACCACTGCGCTCGACGGATGTCCAGTTACTGTCAGTTGCATTTTCTACATCATATCAGAGAAAAGAAAGTTGAATAACAACAATAAAATTAAACACAACAATAATATGTCAAAACAGATACAATTTATCCCCAACTCCTCATTTTACTACTGACGTTTCACTGATCACATCAACTCTGTGGATAAATTCATCAAGTTCACACAAGAAGATGTAAAAAAAAATGACAGGTTGGCTTTCTTGGACTGTGAGGTCTCAGTCTCTGATAGAGGACATTTGCAAACTGAGGTGTACCACAAACCCACCCACACAGACCAGTATTTGCAGTTTGACTCCCATCACCCTTTGGAGCACAAGTTAGGAGTCATCAGGACTCTAACAAAAGTTAAGTCAGGTCCTCTAGACAGGTTCTAAAAACAAAAAAAAGTAGAAACGTTTCGGCTTTCATCCAAAAGACGGATTATACGTTACGGCAAAGACTGGTTCATCCCAAAGATCCAGTCCCCCGGCACAAACAGAGTAATATTGTGTAAGTTGTTCAGTGTCAGGAGGGTGATCAGTCTTACATAAGGGAAACAAAACCGCTACTGGCCGAAAGAATGGACCAGCGCAGAAGATCAACATCATCAGGCCAGGATTCTGCGGTCTACACTCATCTCCAGGCCAGCGGTCACTCTTTCAAGGATGAAGATGTTCACATCCTGGACAGAGAGGAACGATGGTTTGAAAGAGGAGTAAAGGAGGCCATCTTTGTGAAAAGAAACCGTCCATCATTAAACAGGGGTGGAGCCTCCTGGTTCAACTGTCCCCCTCTTACAATGCTATGATTGCTAGTATCACTCAGCCCTCTGTGAACAGTAAACAGCCATCAGGTGCTAATGATCCATTGTTAGGCAGATGGTCCTTCTTGAGCATGTGATCAGCTGGTTTTGGTTGTCAGCAGCAAACTGGTTGATCCACTCTGAGAAGGTGCTATTTAAGAGACTGAGCTGAATACAGCACCTCAGACTGAGGAAGTCTTTCAGATGAAAGACGAAATGTTTCTACAATTCTTTTGTTTGTATTTTGAACCCGTCCAGAGGACCAAACTTAACTTTTTTAGATGTTTCTACCTGGATTATTGAGCATGCATCAGGCTATATAAATAAAGTTTACTTACTTACTAACATATGGAATGACCACTGGTCTGGGTCTGGGTTCCTCCTTTTCACCTGTTGGCTGACTGGAGTCCTGTTTGGGTTTCTTCTTTCAGGAAGGCCCAAGTAGGATATCCACATTGCTCTAGAGCCTGTCTTGTGTAGGATTTCTCCTTCTGCCTGGCTCCTGAGTTAGTGGGGACGCTGTCTGCTCTGTGGGACAGAGTCCTGATGACTACCTTGATGCATGCTCAATAATCCAGGTAGAAAAATCTAAAAAAGTTAAGTCAGGTCCTCTGGACACGTTCAAAAAATAAACAAAAAAATTGTAGAAACATTTCATCTTTCATCCGAAAGACTTCTTCAGTCTGAGGTGCTGTATTCAGCTAAGTCTTATAAATACCATACCATACCATACCATTTTATTTATAGAGCACTTAAAACAGCGACAAGGCCAACCAAAGTGTTGTATAGACCGAACAACAGGTAACACACAAAGCAATATACAAATGAGGTTAATCAGAATAAAGACATAAAAACGATGCATATAATAAATACAGTATAACGACTAACCAGTGTGGAGCATACAGGCTCAAAACACAGATCATCTGGTGTTGAAAGCTACTGAATAATGGTGTTTTTTTAAATAGCACCTTCTCATAGTGGATCAACCAGTATGCTGCTGACAGCCAAAACCAACTGTTCACATGATCGAGAAGGACCATCAGCCTAACAATGGATCATTAGCACCTGATGGCTGTTTACTATTCACAGAGGGCTGAGTGATACTAGCAATCACAGCATTGTAAGAGGGGGACAGTTGAACCTGGAGGCTCCGCCCCTGTTTAATGATGGACGGTTTCTTTTCACAAAGATGGCCTCCTTTACTCCTCTCTCAAACCATCGTTCCTCTCTGTCCAGGATGTGAACATCGTCATCCCTGAAAGAGTGACCTCTGGCCTGGAGATGAGTGTAGACCTCAGAGTCCTGGCCTGATGATGTTGATCTTCTGTGCTGGTCCATCCTTTTGGCCAGTGGCTGTTTAGTTTCCCCGATGTAAGACTGATCACCCTCCTGACACTGAACGGCATACACAACATTACTCTGTTTGTGCCGGGGGACTGGATCATTGGGATGAACCAGTCTTTAATGTATTTTGGGGTTTAAAAGCCACTGGGACGTTGTGTTTAGAAAATAAACGTCTCAGTTTCTCTGATACTCCCTCAACATACGGAATGACCACTGGTCTGGGTCTGGGTTCCTCCTTTTCACATGATGGCTGACTGGAGTCCTGTTTGGGTTTCTTCTCTGCTTTTAGTAAGGCCCAGTTAGGATATCCACATTGCTCTAGTGCCTGTCTTGTGTAGGATTTCTCCTTCTGCCTGGTTCATGACAGCGTCCCCACTAACTCAGGAGCCAGCGTCCAGGTGGTGTTCTGAAAACAACTGGAGTGCATTTTGGAGAAAACCCAGTCTGATGCGAAGAGATGGAATCCATCACACAGTATGTGGAGCAGCACTTCTCTCTAAAAAATTAGATGATTCAGTTGGACATCCAGATTGTTGACAACGGTCCAGTCTAGAAATCAGTCCAGGAAGCAAAGATGTAGTCCTCCACACCTCTCTGCTGCTTCTCCTCTGTTACCCACCCAAAACCCCATTGAAACTGTGTCAACTCGCCCACGGCTCAAATCATCCATCCATTATCTTTACCCACTTATTCCATTTTGGGTCACGGGGGTCGCCGGTGCCCATGTCCAACAATCACTGTGCGAGGGGCGGGGTACACCCTGGACAGGTCTCCAGTCCATCACAGGGACACATAGAGACAAACGAGACAAACAACCATTCACTCTCTCACTCACACCTAGGGACAATTTAGAGTTACCAATCAGCCTAACATGCATGTTTTTGGACTGTGGGAGGAAACTGGAGCACCCGGAGAAAACCCACGCATGCATGGAGAGAACATGCAAACTCCACCCAGAAAGGCCCCTGGACCAGGGTTTGAACCAGGGACCTGCACGTTGAGAGGCAGCAGCTCTACCAGTTGTGCAACCGTGCTGCCCACGGCTCAAATTAAATAAACCAAAAATCAGCTCTAAAAATATAAACCATAAAAATCTGATTAAAATAAACACAGTTACTTTACCAGAGCAAAATCATAAAATCATTAAATGTGGATTATTGAACATCAGATCTCTTTCCTCTAAATCCCTGTTAGTTAATGAACTGATAACTGATCATCATATTGATTTATTGTGTCTGACAGAAACTTGGCTACAACAGGAGGATTTTGTTGGTATAAATGAATCCACTCCTGTTAATTATTTAAATTTTCATGTTCCTAGAACAACTGGTCGAGGTGTAGCTTCTATTTTTCCGTTGGGACAATTAATTAATACTAAACCAATTAGTAGTTATAATACTTTTGAGTCACTGTCTCTAAGTCTATCCCATCCTAAAAGCAAAATGGAGTGCCCACTCTCACTAGTTGTTATATATCGTCCACCAGACTCCTATGCTCAGTTTTTGTCTGAATTCTCAGAATTCTTAACTGACTTACTACTAAATACTGATAAAATCATAATAATGGGTGATTTCAATATTCATATAGATGTTGAAAGTGATAGTGCAAGCAGAGCCTTTAACAATTTAATAGAGTCAATTGGTTTTATCCAAAATGTCCGAACAGCTATTCACTTCACATCTTCTACTTCTTTATAGTTCTACAAATCCAATCTCTATTACAAGTCTATCTTCAGTAAGCCACACCTTTTCATTTTTACCGTTCTCAGTTAGTGAGGTTAATAAACTGTTAAAAGGTCTAGACTCTAAAAAAATCTGTAGGACCAGATGAACTTCCAACTTATTTCTTAAGGCTGGCTGCTCATATCATCACAGTCCCTGTGACCCACATCTTCAATTTCTCCATGAGACAAAACGTTGGTAACCCCAGATTCTATGAGTATAAGCGTAGCCCTTTAAGGCTGTCGCTGATGGGTTTATCCCGATATGCGAAGCATTGCGCTGAAAAATTTAGTCCACGCCCACCTGCTGTGTGGGCTCCACCCGGTCCGTATAAATTACGTTAAGAGCGGGAAATCGGCTCCCAAAATAGCTTTTTCTTCAGCCATTTAGGAGCCAGTGAGGCCCGATGTTTAAAGGGCTATGCCTATACTCATAGAATCTGGGGTTACAGTACGTAACCAACGTTCTATTTTGTATAGGCTTCGCCCTTTAAGGCTGTCGCTGATGGGTTAAGGGCGAAACGGATGTTGTCCTCGCCTCACTGGGTCCATTCGAACACCGTATGAAGCAGAAGCTTGCCCAAAAAACGTCTTGTCACTCAGCTCCCCATGTGCATAATTACGCATTGCGTAATTATGTGTGCCATGCACAGATGCATGTTGTGTAACTATGCGTTCTGAATGCATGAACGCCCCGGAAAATTCAACGGGGAGGGAAAAATACTGAAAAGAGCCATGAACCAACTGGTTTACGGCTGAACAGTATGAACAGATTAATAATAACAGGAGAGCTGATTATTAATCAATTGAACTGATTGGTAACAATAGTCATGAACTGATTAGTGACAATAGAACCAAAATAACAATCACAATTTGTGATTGATAACAACATCTCACACTGTAATGCATGCAGACAGATGTGAGTTAAACGGAGTTCCATGAAACAACAATATTCATTCTGTAAACACTAAGGACAGAATGTGTCATGGAACGGGCCGTCACATCACGTAAATAAAAGTGAATAAATGAGCAGGGTGTTGACCACGCGGCCGCAGTGCAAAATGTCCTACATTGACATACCATTATGCAAGGCAGTCGAAGATGCGATACCCCTGGTCGAGTGTGCTCTGAGGTTGACAGGAGGCTCTAAATCTGATGCTCT